GAAAAATAAATCTGTTCTTTTTTCTTATAAAAGGTTAAATAAAACAAAAATATTGGTGTTAATTTTTGACTGTAACTTTACAAACGGCCCCTCATATAAGAGGAGTCTTTCGGGGGCCCTCAGGAGGTCCAACAAACCGTACGGTTTATAAACAGTGGAGAATAAAAACAACTTTAGAGACTAAAAGAAAAARAGAGGGGGATAAAACTTTGACTGAAAGGAAACCCGGAGGAAGGAAAGATGTTTTGGGTCATCAGCCTCTCCTCTAAATATTTCTGAGCTCAGACCAGAACCGGTCTGAGGACTCGCAGAACAAATAAAGTCCAAACTCCAAGTAGGTTAAGTGCTGGAAACGTAAACCTGAGCAGCAGCAGGAATACTCAGCTCTGCTCGTTCAAACGTTTTAAACAGTTTTACACCATAAAACCAACATTAGAGGGGGTGGGGCGGCGGGGGGCTGGGAGGGCTGTTTATTTACCCTCCTGAAGGCGGGGATGACTGAGACCTGACCAGATGTTAGGAACACAGCAGCTCTCAGACCTGTTCTGTTAGCAGCTCAGAAATATCACTTCTCTGCTCCTGTTAACAAAATAAAAGACTTCCATTCATCTGAAATATAATGTCTGAATAAAACATTAAATAAAACTCATTTAGTTTAAATTTGAACATTATGAGCGCCCTCTGGTGGCTGTTTGCAGCCACTCATCAGCAAATATAAAGAACTTGAGATGTTTGAGAGAAAAACTGTAATTATTTAATTATTTAAACTGGAAAAAAAAACAAATTAAATAATTTTATTTAACTGCAACGAATTTCAGAATGAATAAAGTTTAATATTCAGCTCAGTCTGACTCTGGTTGTTGCTTCATCAGATTTAACGTCTCTGTTGCTCCTTCGCACCCAGTGGTTGTCATTTTGTACCGACACAGCATCAACCAGAGAGCAGGGGGACTGGATGCATCTAACTGACTTCCAGTGAAGCTACTGCTAGCTGCTGCTGCTAACAGAGGGAGAGCAGCTCTGAATCTAGATCGAGTCCAAAGAATCTGTCTGACCCAGGATCCAGAGGTACCAGTTCCACATGACCCAGGATCGGTTTTTTACACCAACCCTGCTGCTCCTCGAGCATCCAGGTCCAGAAAAGGAGACCAGGTTCCTCCAGGATCCTCCTCTCTCCAGGTTACTTGCATCCATAGAACCAGTGGCGTCACTAGGCCTATTTTAGGGGGGCTTAGGGGAGAACCTAGGGTTGTTGCTTGGTGCTCACTCATATGTTCCTTCACTCATAGAACACATTTATCGTGTCAGGTCATCTAACGTCCCCCTGTTCTGTTTTATGACTCCTATCAGCTGCAACGTCTCAGGACATCATGTCAAATCAGTCCAACAAGTTTTTATTTTTTACTCTGCATTAATGTTGTAAACTAAGTGTCCGAGGGGCTGGGTGTGTGTCATATAAACATCACAAACTGAACATTTCATGGTTAAATGTCTTTTAGACACATGTCCCTCAGATGGACAGCTCCTGTTTGGTCTTTACTTCAGCCTTGGTTAAACCAGATTTCCACACTCTCCAGTCCAACCAGCAAATATCTGTCTTTTACACAGAGCAAAATAACTTAAAACATACAAATGTTTTATTTGTTGGACTGATTTATTTTTTAAAAGACTATTTTATTCAAAAACATTATATTATTTAGATGTTTTCAGGTCATGTAATTATTTATTCTTCATATTTGATCATTTAATAAATTACATTTATCCCAGAGCAGCTGTGTCACAGAATGGTCCTAAATATAAATAAGTTTAGCAAATCAAGAACCTTGTTTTTTTTATATAAAATTGTGAATGAAATTTGTGGATCTTTAAGATAAATTAAAATAAGATTTAAAACTCTTTCACCTAGAGAACATGGCAAGTTGTTTTTATTTTTTAATATAATGTTTTTGACTGGGGTGTTAAACAGAGAATCATCTTTGCTTTAATATGGGACAAACAAATGTTCTGTTAGTTAATGTGGTTTAATTAGAAAAACTCAGTGAATCTCACAGACAGCCTCATACAGCAGTCTCTCAGGAGG